GCAAGGCTAAGGCAGGCTCCCGGTCTGCCCTGGTGTCTCCCAGAAGTGGTCGGCACATCCCAGCAACACCTGAGGGGGAAGGAGGGAGGCTCCACATGCTGCCCTCACATGCAGGCTCCATCCCTGTAGCTCCCATTGGCTGCAGTTCCCGGCTAATGGGAACTGTGGCATTGGCACTGGGTGTGGGGGCAGAATGCAGAGAACCCCGGACCTCTCCAACCCAGTGACGTGCCAGCTGCTTCTGTAAGTGGCACAGGGCCAGGGCAGGCAGGGAGCTTGCCTTAACCTTGGAGTGCCACTGGATTTTTAACTTCCGAAAATCTCCTGGGTTGGCTGCAGTAGCCTCTGAGAGATAAAGTCTGATTCCGGGGAGCTCCCAGAGAAACTGGCAGGGTTGGTAACCCTAAGAAAGCTCACTGAAAGTGGAAAGTCTGTGAGTTGAGCAAAACCAATTAAAAAAGACTAAAACTTCTTGGCTATGATAGAGGGCTATAAAATCATGACCGGTGTGGAAAAAGTGAATAAAGAAAAGTTATGTACTTGTTCCATAACAAGCACTAAGGGCCACCAAATGAAATTAATAGGTAGCAGGTTTAAAACAAACAAAAGAAAGCATTTCTTCATGCAATGCACAGTCAACCTGTGGAACTCCTTGCCAGAGGATGTTGAGAAGCCTGGGATTTTAACAGGGTTCAAAAAAGAGCTAGATAAATTCATGGAGGATAGGTGAATTGATGGCTATTAGCCAGGATGGGTAGAAATGGTGTCCCTAGCCTCTGGCAGAAGATCGGGCTGGAACAGTTGATGATTCCCTGTTCTGTTCATTCCATCTTGGTCACCTGGCATTGCTCACTGTTGGAAGTGGCTAGATGGACCTTTGGTCTGACCCAATATGGCCATTCTTCTGTACTGAGCCTCTGGGATCTGGTGGAGATCAGCCTTAGAGGCAACAAAAAAATGTGGGCCAAAGCTCAGCCATGAGAAATGCTGCCCAGGAGATGACATATGCCTGCTGATAGTTGAGGAGTGTGGGGAAGGCTGAATGAGGTCAAGTGGCTTCAGCTGTGTTACTGAGCATGCTCAGTACAAACCAACCAGCAGACTGGTCGGAGGCACATGACCCTGTCTCCCCCGCCCCCACTCACTTCCCCCATCCTCTCTGACTCCAACACACAAAATGAAAGATGCTGTGCACCTATTGCCCTGAAAGCAGAGCCCTGGGGATAGCTCACTGCACGAGTTCTACCTCAGCAGCTGTAGCAGGGTAAAACCATGGACCGACAGACTGGACCCTCAGAACTCCAGCAGGGATAAGGGCTTAGAAAGACACCAGCTCCCCAGACAGGTGAAAGCAGCACTGGCTAGTGGGCAGGGCTGTCTCCAAATTACCCCAACTTTCATAGTGCCCTCTGCAGCTGAGTGCAGCGGTCAGCCCCAAACTTCAGCATTATGCCCAGTCCTCTCTCCCCAGGTAGTGGCAAGTAGCGTGAGCACAGACCAGGGGACTCAGGAGGAGCAGAGGGGGGGTCAGATAGCTGGTGGCTGGAGGGAAGTGGTAGTTTTCTCCTTCAAAGCACCACTTCTCTTTGGCCAGCTGCATGGGCACCCTCTGCACCTCCAGCACATGCTCGCACTGCCCGTGCCTCCTGCCTGCTCCCCTGCAGCTGTCCGGTGAGCCTCCCATCCTGGCCCACTCTTGCCTAGGGTTGCCAGCTCTCCTGGACCAGATGGACCAGACATAAACTTGCTGCAATAGCGTCCAGTCCATTCAGTGCAGGAGAGCTGGAAACCCTACTATGCCCCCCACAGCTTCTATGGCTGCTCCCCTCTCAGAGAGAGTTGCTGGTGCTGGGCCACGTAGGGCACCAACATTGGCAGGGACGGCCCTGCTAGTAGGGACCAATGAGCAGGGAAAATCTGGCCAGGCCTGTCAGGCATGCATCTCCATACAGAAAAGTCTCAGCGGGGAAGCCATGTTAGGCCATGTCTATACTTATCTGCGGATCAATGCTCCAGAGATCTATCTTCTGGTGTTCAATTTAGTGGGTTTAATAAGAGCCTGCTAAATCAAACACTGAGGGCATCCCTGTTGGTGCCAGTATTCCTGCTCCTTGTGAGGAGTATGGGAAGTCAATGGGAGCATCTCTCCCATCGACCTCCCACTATGGAGACGGCACCAAAGTTTGAATCAAGGTACGTCGACTCCACCTAAGCCATTAACGTAGCTTTAGGTGCGCGTCTTGATTCGAACTTCTGGGTAAGACGTGGCCTTAGTCTGTACCTGAAAAACATGAGGAATCCTGTGGCACCTTAGAGACTGAATAGATTTCACAGGGCGTAAGCTTTCATACGTAAAACCCACTCCATTGGATGAATAGTCTCTAAGGGTACGTCTAAACTACATGGCTCCGTCGATGGAGCCATGTAGATTTGTTTGTTAGGCAAAGGGAAATGAAGCTGCGATTTAAATAATCACAGCTTCATTTAAATTTACAGGGCTGCCGCGCTGAGCCGACAAACAGCTGATCCGCTGTTTGTCGGTTCCGCACGCTAGTCTGGATGCTCCCCTGTTGACATGAAAGCCTTTTATCGACCTCCCTGGTAAACTTTATCCTACGAGGCATAACAGGGAGGTCAATAAAGGGCTTTCAGGTCGGCGCGGGAGCATCCAGACTAGCGTGCGGAACCGACAAACAGCGGATCAGCTGTTTGTCGGCTCAGCGCGGCAGCCATGTAAATTTAAATGAAGCTGCAATTATTTAAATCGCGGCTTCATTTCCCTTTGCCGATCAGCCTAATCTACATGTCTCCATTGATGGAGCCATGTAGTTTAGACACACCCTAAGATGCCACAGACTCCTCATTGTTTCTCCATAGAGTCTTGAGTGTTTAATTCCAAGCCCAGCAAAACACTAAGGCTATGTCTACACTGCATATTAATTTTGAATAGTTACTCCAGAATAGGTTATTTTGAAATAGCACATCTACACTACAGGGAAGCCTCAAAATGAGGCCAAGGCAGGATTCCCTAATGTACACGTGCTATCTCGATTTAGAGCCCCAGGAGGCACTGGGGAGGGGCTAATTCGAAGTAGCAGCAGTGGAGTGTCTACACATGTCTTATTTCAAAATAGGTATTTTGAAATAGGCTTTATTCTTCGCAGAAGGAGATTTACAGATTTTGGAATAAGCCAAAATTATTTCGAAATAACGGAATGGCTGTGTATTCGCTTGCATAATTATTTCAGAACAATGGCTGTTATTCTGAAATAACTTTGCTGTGTAAACATACCCTAAGAGATTGCATGCCACATCATGAGGTGATGTAAATCAAAGTAGATTCACTGCTGTTAGGGAGCTGCAAAGATAGATGAGGTCACCCATACTGTTTGTCTGGAACATATTCTTAATTCACTGTCACAAAGATGTGTTGCAAAGGGAGACAAGTGTCTCTTCCAGTTACTGTACAGCACTGATGTTTTATCTGGTCTGGGCAGCGAAGGAGACTTTTGAGTTAAACTAAAACAAACTGCTAAATAATCTTTGTATAGGTTTTTCAATAAAAGGCTGGATTGCAATCCATGGTCTCATTAAAGGGCAAAGCCGATATAAAGCTGGAGCTATTTTGCTTCCTAGAGGGAATGGATCTTTATGTCACTTTTGAAGTTAAGTGATGTTGAAAGGGAACTAAGTTTCCCCAAGTTGCTTGGAACATCTGCTTTCTCTCTAACGAGGATTAAATGGCGGAACAAGTTCCATGCTCCATTTCAGATGAGACAAGATTTGATGCCAGATCTCGCTCTCCCCCGATTGTATTTATCCTGTTGTTTATAATAAAAATTGAGCAATCCATTTCATCTGACAGGAGGAAGCGCGGCTTCAGGAAGTCTTGTACCAGTCTGTGGCTATATTAAGGGACAATTACTCGACAGCTTCCTAACCATAAATAGCTATCCAATGAGGCAGAGTTTTAATATAGATGTGGGAAGTAAAGGAGTCTGGAAGAGGATTTTTATGATGTTACTTCTCTCCCCCCAGCCACACACACACTTTTTTGCTTTTCAAAAATGGGATGTCCCTGATCATGCTCCCAACACCACAGCACTAACTACTCCAACTACGCCATCTGTGCTCACCCTCAACCAGGCAAATCACAGAAGCTGCAAAGAGGAAGTCAGGCAGCTCCCAGGAGCTAAGTGCATCAGAAGTGACAAGAGCACTCAAAGAGAAGATGGTGCGTTGAGTGGTTTTTCTCTCATGCCTCTCCTCTGGGCCTTGTAGAGGCTGCTTTTGCCAGGCAGCTGTAGAGGGCAACAGGACGTGATGCACTGGGATTAACATCACCAATTAGGCTGTCTACCACCTCCAGGAGGCTCCAGCAAAGTCATTTCCATGGCTTTATGGTAAATTGACTCAGCTTGCTTTGGCACAATCCAGGGAAATACAGAACCCTATAGCTGTGTCTAGACTCCACCCCTTTTGCGGAAAAGGGATGCAGATTAGACACGGCGCAATTGTAAATGAAGTGGGGATTTAAATCTCCCCCGCTTCATTTGCATGAACATGGCTGCCACTTTTTTCCGGCTTGGGGCTTTGCCGGCAAAAAGCGCCAGTCTAGACGGGGATCTTTCGCAAAATAAAGCCTTTTCCGAAAGAGCCCTTATTCCTCTTAAAATCAGGAATAAGGGATCTCCATCGGTGGCAGGAGGAAAGTTAAGAACGATTTATTTTCTCACTCTTGTAAGAAGTTATGACTTAGGATGCGCACCGAAAATGGACCTGTTGTACACCAGGCTACCCTTTTACAGAGCCAATTCCCAGACCATAGTCCTGGCTCTGAGATCTCAGATTTAGGCATCTGTAAGCCAGGCTCGTCCTTCAGAGAGAAGCTTGAGCACATGAACCCCAAACATTCCAACACCAGAAGGCAAACAAACAGAACCACAAATTAGTTGGCAATACTGGAAACAGCAACAAAATAATCCAAAAGAAAAACGACATTTCAAGAAGTTTTTTTTATTATCAGAATCTTTTTTGACCATTTTTGTCATGTGGCTTGCCGAAAAAAAGAAAAAGAAATTCTTTCTTTGGAGACAGAACCAGAAGAGCAGCGTGTTTATCTCGTGGATGATTCATGGGATCAGTGTTGAGAGGCTAAATGCTTCAGAAGCTAACATTCTAGAGAGATGATTGTTTTTAATATAAAACAGCATATGTTTAAAACAACAGGGTCTTTTTTTCCTTTCCTGCTGTGCCCAGTAAACATAAGGAAGGCAACACAGTTTATGTGTTAATAGAATTAAGTTACTTGGTGCCATCACAGTCTTTATTAGAAAGTGGAAGAAATTGCACAGATAGGTGACATAAAAGGGAGAAATAATCGTGAATAAACATAGATTCTGGGATGTATTTATTTGTTTAGTCTCAGGAAGATAAAAGGCGTCCTCGTTTCACTTCTGCAGAGTAAAAGATTTAGAGGAGCGAATACCAGTCAGTCAGGAAGAATGAACTTGGCAAAAAACAGCCAGCGTTTTCTAAGCTTTCACTCTCAGCCTCCAAGAGAAATCTGTCTTTGAACATAGAATCACGGGTGGACTACTTGAAACCTTTCAGTCCCAAAGCTCTAAGGCAGCCCTTCCTTTTGCCTGTTATCCATTCGTGGGGAAGGTAGAAAGGTTGGTCCAAAGAGTTGTATTGGAAGCCCCGTTTCTAGGCCAATGCCAGTGCACACCAAGAGTCCTGACGGAGGGGAACACTTAGTCCTGACTGTTGAGTCATGGCAGCAGAAGTGAAGGCATAATCCTCAGGTTCAAATTTGAACTCGGAATGGCCACTGGCCAGTGTCTCATTCGACTGGCTTTGAGCCTAGGAAGATTAGGAAAAGGAGAAATTATTACTAAGCCACAGATGTATTTCAATGTATATTGAAATCAGCAGTTTCAAAATGAGAAAACGGAGTTACTATGACTTGTGTTTATTTACATTTGTGTGATGCGCTAACGGATTGCCAAAGAAATCTAAGGCCATTGAAATGTAATGGGAATGCGGTGCCTATCTTCCTTAGGTGCTATTGAAAACCCCAGAAATTTAGTGAACAATGTTCCAATTTGGAATTAAGGGGATATAATTTAATAGTGTTCATATGACAAATTATGAATGTGATCAGTGAGTTCCAGCCAGAACTGTAGGCTCAAAAGAATCCTATGACTAGAGAGGAGGATTGCTTGATTCAAAGATAAAGGCTCCTTAACAGAGTTCTCTGGAAGAACCCTGTGCTATACCTATCTCTGTTGCTTGGCTGAATGTGTCAAGTTTGGAGATCTCTGGGCACAGGTATGTTCTTTATAACCATAACACCAATCAAATGCATCAAAGTCAACCAAGAACCTCTACTATACACTACAGAGGACACCAAGCCTCGAGAGATGGTTTCAACAAAAATACCGGACACACTTGACATTACATCACAATCTACATTACACCTTATTTAGAAAATACCGGACATTTATATTTTCTCAATTTGTTTCCCGAACAGAAAGCTCAAATACTGGACTGTCCGGTTCAAAACTGGACACCTGGCAACCCTAGCTATGCTGCCCTGAAGCTTAGAGGGAACACTGGCGGCAATCCTTTATATCTGTGCCTAATAGTTTCCAGAGCAAAAGGTGTTTTTAGGGGTAGAAGACAGGTTGAGAGGTGGATGGAAGAGTTGAATTATTAAACTGGCTTGTTATAGCAACAGACAATGGAACTACTTAGCCCTGTGCCTAGTCAAAAAATCAATCGGAACAAATACAAGCAGCTTTCTTTTCGCAAGCTTTACCTGGGAGACTGACACTATGGTTTGTCCTGGGTACTGTGATGTCACATTGGGCTCAGTTTTTAAAGTGACGGTGCTGTCTGAGTTTGTAATGGAAGAAGGAGAGTTAGTGGCTGAATTTGTAGACCCTGAAAGATAATTTTTACAAGTTGATAAAGTAACATACACATAAGTCAGTTCTCAAAGAAACAGTCAATAATATTTAAATAGCTCCCTGGACTTTTTAGGGGAGAATCTCATGGCATTATTATAGCATGAGAGTACTTTAGTGTGGTTGTTCATTTTTCAGCTAAAACACAGAAAAAGCAAAACTGAATGGTACATCACATGCTAGAGTGGGGTGGGCAATAAAATGGCAGTAGTGGGCCAGCACCACTATATTTACCTGCATCTCCACAGGTACAGGTGATTGCTGCACCTGTTGACTGTGGATTTCCATTCCCTGCCAATGGGAGTTGCAGGAAATGGCATACACACTGCTTCCTGCATCTCCCATTGGCCGGGAACAGTGATCTGCCATCAACAGGACCTGCAATTGCCTGCCCCTGTACAGGGGCAGGTAAATATAGTGGCACCAGCCCATCAGGGGCTAATCCTGGCAAAGCGGAGCCAGCCCATGGGTTGGTATTTGTTCACCCGTGCACTAGAGGTACTTGGGAGGGAGGAAGGCACATGACAGACATGTACATTATTCTTCCTGGGTGGTCATTCCTGTCAGAGCCTGGAGAAGATTCCACTCATTTGCTCCCCACCGTAACACCCCTCAAGATACAGGCCCATATATCATGGCTTCCATGCAACAGACTGAACTGGGCAGGAATTCTTTCAGGATCCATCAGTGCTGCTTTTAATCCAGATGAGGGTCGCAGCAGAGTGTGGCTAGAGGGACTCCCCTCACTGGCCCAGCAGACTACGTGAGGCATTCCCAGCCCCTGCCTTTCCCTTTTACACCAGTTGCACCCTTGCTGCTTAGCGTGGCCTGAAGTTGCTGTTTAGGAACCACCTTTGCATCATGTAGGAGGAGTACAGCAGTGAAGTGAAACTGACAAGCTCTTTCTCAACAGCTTCTGGGGGGATTTTTTTTAAAATTCTCTCTTAACTTTTCCTAGCTCCCTCTGCCCCAGCAACTTTTGACAATACCCAGGGTCCTACTGCACCCACCACTAGATACTCCATCCATCCCACAGCAATGGAGGGCATCTGCATGTTCCCTCTACAATGCCCAGCAGTGAAATAGCTAGCAACAACGCCATTTAAATCACCAATGCAGTTAAAGACACCCCAATGAGAAGAATGGTTCTGTTGTTCAAGGCTCAGGAAAACAATGGTGCATCAGCTCGCACATGGAGGATTTTGTTTCCACTCATAAAGACTAAACAACACTTTTTTTTTCTTATAGGAAAGTCAGATTCTGTAGCAGGAATTAATTTTTAGCCATCTTCATAGCTGCAGAATCACTGAAAACAGAATCACTAGGTTCTGATTATGATCTAAGCCACAGGGAGGAATAAAATTAAAAAAGAACCATACCTGTGGAGGTTTTGCCTTTGGTAATGTTTTTAGGCTTCCGTTTCCTTGTCTGGATGCTTTCCTTTTTCATTGCCAGAGGTCGTGGCACCTTGACACCCACAAAGTTTGGAATCATTAATATTGTATTGTACTTAGCTCTCCCACATGTGTTGCATTTATATTTACATACCATGACTTGTGCAAAGGCCTTGTCCTTCACTATGTGCTATTTTTCTCCACAACAGGCCTTGGCGGGAAGATGTATAAGGCTGAACGGTTGAGGCTTTCACACAAATTTTGTTTTTTTTCCATTATTTCCTATTTTCCCTTTCCTGATTTATTAGTGACCTTTGCAACGGTGTCTTGTTAAATTACACCAGTGTTGGGGCACTAGATGGCTCAGAAGGAATGGTCATAGGATAAGGAGGCTTTAACCTCTAAAGGGCACTGGCTCAGCTTAGCCCAAATGGAAGCATAAAATCTGCTTTGTGGCCTATGGACAATGCATTAGTGGTTCCTGTCCTGAATTGATAAACATCATCAAACCACCACCACCATCTGGTGCTAACTGCCCTCCTTCCTAGAAATCAAGAACTGAATGGCAATGGCAACTGAACCAGCCTGCCTCCTTCTAAAAATGCCCTTGCAGCTCTGGGCAGAGGCATAGTCTTGCTCTGGGAAAGTTTGTCCTGCTGCTACCTTGGAGGTTCCTCTTCTATGGAACCAGCGGGTTCCAGGCTAGTAATCTTACATCTTTCTGATCCACTAAATTCATATTGAAATGTTAGCAGACACAGAACCACACTGGTGTCCCTGAGATAATGGGAAAGCAAGAAGCATTATCGTCCTTAAAAATGAATCGATTTTAAGGCCAGAAGGGTCTGTTATATCCATCTCCTCTGACCTCCTGCATCATGCAGGCTAGAGAACCTCACCCAGCAATTTCTGCCTGTGTGGTCTACAGCAGAATGTTCAGACAGACAGCAAACCTTGAACTAAAGTCTTCAAGTGATGGAGATTCCATCCCATGCTTAGATAAATTGTTCCAATAGTTAATTATCACCACTGTTAAACATGAGCACATTATTTCTAGTCTTAATTTATCTAGCTTCAGTGTGTAACCACTGAATTTCATTTTGCCTTTTTCTGCTAGATTAAAGAGACATCTATTTTCAGAAATGTCTTTTATGGATATCCTTGCAGAGCACGATAAAATCATCTTTTAACTTTTGCTTTGATAAATCAAACAGATTGAGTTTCTTAAGTCTCTCCCTGTAAGACATGCTTTTCAGATCTTACATCATTCCTTTCACTCTTCTCTAAATTCTTTCCAATACCTGGACTAGATAAAGCTGTCCCTTCCAATAGGAAGTGAAGGCAGGATATTTTAAATCTGGTGGGAAATGATTCAAGACAAAAATGGTTTCCTATAAAGGAGAAATTAGCGCCTTACCCCATGGAGTTTCATGTATAATCCACAGGCATTGCAGACGGGTTCTCCCTCTGCATTCCGTCTCCAGAGGGTAGTATTGGTTGTGTGACAGTTAGTGCAACAAAGCCCAGCACGTCTTGATGAAGACTAGAAAAAACCCACACACGTGAAAAAAAAATCAAGAGTTTGCATGAAGGGGGAACGGAAAAATCTCAAATTACACTGATTTACTGGACAATGAAAAATGTTGACTAAATGCACAAGATAACACAATTCCCATAAAAGAAATAGCTGTCTAGTGAGCTCACTCTGCTTTGCAAACGACTTGATAAACCTGGCAAACATCCTTTTAATCCCATCCACTGAAGTTAAACAAATATGTTCCAAGAAATCATATTTCATAACGTGGTGCAACAGTTCCCAAATGATCCACTCAGAGGGAGGTGGTTCTTATAAGAATTATTATCCAAGTTTTCAAAGCAGCAATTTTGCAAACTCCCTAGAAAAATGCTGTTGCTTTAAAGGAACCGGTAAAGATAATGGGGACTGGACTGATCTCTGGTATAACTCATCAGTGGCGTTTTAGCATTGGAGCATCATAAAAAGAATGATCCTTTGCATTTCACATCTCTCATCTAAAGATCCCAAAACACTTGCCAAACAATTCATTCCAGTGTTTGTGGGTGGCTCGACTGGAGGTCTTGTCCTAAAGCGAACGTTTCTTTAGCTGGACACAGAAACACTTAGTAGAAGCAGCAGACCTATCTCTGTCAACTGTGTTCTCAGCCAGTAGAAAAGACAGAGTTCTCAACACAGGGTTTTAGCTTGTTGGATTATGGGCGTTTCATTTTAATGTCTCTTAGCAGTAGGCATTCGAACTATTCTAACAGGAAACTTCACTAAATGTAAAAGATATCGGTGCCACATTAAGGTGTCTGAGTGATGTACTTCAACCTGGAGACAAAAACGTCAGTTCAACACAGAGATAGATGTTGGGTGATACAAGTAACAAAGAAATCCACGTCTGCTTTGTTTTTCCATTATTGCTTCATATCACTACCAAGCAGTGTGATAAATTGGGTGAAGGGAGAAGGAATACAAAATAAAACATTTTACAAAGTTGGTTGTTAAGTAGAGATTAGATTTGCGTTTCAGGAGACAGGTAGGGCAAAGTGACAGAACCCTCCTTGATTCATTAGTTGCTAAGTGATGCAGCTTCGGCAACTTGTTACAGATAATTATATTACTTGACAGATTATTGATTTTCCAAAAAATAACCTGCCAAAATCTAAACCTGAGATGCAAGTGGATTACTTTTGCACAGAAAAAAATTATTATGATTATATTCCAAATATTTTCCTACCCATTTCCTGTGCAGAAGGGATGGGATCATGGTTATACCTGGCATAGTTAGCCTGGGCAAAATCTTGCCCTCAGATATGCCTCCTTAACTCTTATTGGACCCTATTTGCCTATCTCACATCTTGTGCGGAGCTGAACATTCTCAGCTAACTCTGTCAGGCCATGTCTACACTACGAAACTATTTCAAAATAATTAAATTCGACTTAATAACTCCCGATTTAACAAATTCGAACTAGTGTGTCCATATTACGGGGAAGCCTCAAAATTAGTCCAGGGCAGGCTCTGTTAATGTGGACACACTACCTCGATTTAAGAGCCCCAGGAAGCACTGCGGAGTAATTAGTTTGAATTATTTTGGGGAGAATTTATTTCGAAATAGCAGTACCGGAGTGTCCACACTACTGCTATTTCAAAATAACTATTTTGGAATTAGTGTTACTGCTGATGAAAAGCAGAAGTACAGATTCTGAAATAAGGGGCCTGTTATTTTGAAATACCGGGCTTAGTAGTGTGGATGCTCTGCTTATTAATTCAACCTAAGGGGATAATTTCAAAAGAAAGTCCTAGTGTAGACCAGGGCTCAGGTAGGAAGGAGATCAGCACCTTGCAGAACAGGTGCAGCCAGGTTGCAAACAATCCAGACTTTCCTGTCATCAGCAGTGCCAGGGAAGCAGCATGTACAGCAACAAATGGGACCCTCACACTAGTTGGGACCCTATCTGGTATTAAGAGAAGAGTTTTCAAATGCTTGGTTTTGGCCTGCCCCTGCTGAAAACAGGGGGACATCTACCATGGCTGAGTGCAGAGTAAGGCCAGTGCTGAAAGCTTTGGAAACTCCCACTCCTAAGTGTTACCAGAATCAGTACTAAAAGAGGGAATGGACCCACAGCCTGGGATGGGCAAGTAGTTTTCATGACATGGGATCAGACTTGGTAAAATCGGGCACTAAATTCTACTGCTAGGCATGGCCCCAAAGTGGTCTTCCATTCTAGGTACTTCTATGGCCTATTGATTCTATGGCCTTTTCTATGGCTTATTTGGGAGCCTCAAATCACTAGAGGTGTGTCTACACAGCATCCTAAACTGGAAATAAGATACGCAATTTGCGCTATGTAAATTGTGTGTCTTATTTCAATTGAATTTTGAAATAGTGTATTTCAAAAATTGGCGCATCTAATTTCCAAATAACACACTATTTCGAGACATCCCTTAACTGTCGTGGAATGAAGGTTACAGGGATGCGGAAACAGTGCCTCTGCTATTTCAAGACCTATCTCAAAATAGTGGGTACATTCGAAAGTTGCATTCAAAAGTGGGTGCATCCCGAAATAGCCCTGCTGTGTAGACAAACTGTAACTGATCTTATTTTCTCCCCACCACTGCAAGATAGGAAATTGCTATTTCCATGAAATAAATGGAGAATGGGGCATACAGTAGATTAAATGACTTCTCCAAAGTCAGAGAAAAAGGGTTTGCTTACGTGGCACTTTAGTCCACACCAGATGGGAGTAAATTTTAGTCTGTGCAAGGGCATTGCACATTAAATGGCCCACATAGATCCTGCTGGTGCACACTAAAATCTTCTAGGTACAGGTTAATGTGGTTCCATTCTAAACTGTACTAAATTAGCGCACACCATCAGGGTCTACTTGGGCCATTTAGCATGTGACACTCTAGCCCAGACTAACATTTGTGCCCTCTCACATGGACTACAACACCATGTAGACAAGTCTGAAGTCAGCAGCTGAGCTGGGAATAGAAACCACATCTCCTCAGTTCCAGTTCAGTGCCTAAAATCCTTCCCACTCTGTAATCTTTGCATTATCAGTCACCATGAGGCCGGCTGCAGCAGCTGGAGCCCCCGCATGCAGGGCCGCCAATGTACTGACATCATCGGTGGGCGCCCCGGGCACCCCTTTGATGTCATCATCGGGCGCCCCGGGCGGCGGCGCCCTAGGCGGTGGCCAAGTCCGCTTATAGCCATGGGCCGCCCCTGTCAGTCACAGAAGTACCACAGGGACTAAGAGGTAACTGACAGCATTTCAGAACCAGCTACCAGATATTTTTAATAAACTTCTGTTTCAAAGTAAGTTTACAGACCATGGGGCAATCTCCTTCTCCTAGGGCAGCGGTTCCCAAATGCCGGTCCATGGACCAGTGCAGGGCCACGAACCACTGGCTGCCGGGCCATGGCAGTTGCTGGAGCTGAAGCAAGCTGTTTGCAGCAGCTTTGGGGGCTGGGGCTGAGGTACACCCCAGATCCCTGAGCCGTCACACAGCAACCGGCTTCAGCTCCAGCTGAAGCTGGCTGTTCGGGGTGGCCTCTTAGTAAACCAATACTGTTTTATTTGCATATTTTCATATTCATTATAAACAGGGCTCGACAAATAATGCAATCTACTCACCCATGGCGAGTACATTGCTACCCGGAAGAGCCAGGTTCGGGCAATCTGCGCATGAGCAGATTGCCAGACAGCGCAGCTGGTGAGTGGGGCTCGCCGCAGTTTGGCAAGCCCTGATTATAAATATGCAAATAAAATGCTACCGGTACACCAAAAGTTTGTGAATGGGTTTCCCGCAGGGTTGCCAGATACTTTCACAAAAAATACCAAACATGGTGGGAAATTGTTTGAGCTAAAAAAAAAAAAAAAAACGGGGGGCGGGGGACTGAAGTTGTTGAGAAAAAAAAAACACTGCACAAAATGCAGTAGGGGAAGAATATCCAGTATTTTTTTTACCGGACAGAGGCTGCAAATACTGGCAACCCTAGTTTCCCGGTCCTCAGTATAAAAAAGGTTGGGAACCACTGTCCCAGGGAAGTCACCGGGAGTATGATCAGGCCCAGGGTTACCAAAATACTGGGTCTAAACACTTTAAACATTCTCTGGAGTTGCCCATTGTGACTTGTGACAACTTTCCACTGCAGCAAGAAAGACAGAGTCAAGGCTACTTTTGCTCGCTGAAGGACAAAGGTACAATATGCTATTGCTAATTTCCCCGCAGTTTACTTAAAAGAGAGAGCATTCTTGGGACTACCCCGCCCCCAACTCAAGTCCGCTGTTATAGCATTCTGACCTTGTCTAGGAAGTTGTTGACTTCAACATTGTACTCCAGTGTTTATTTATATAAATGTAGCGTACACTTAAACAAAAAGCCCTTCATGGGCTGCACTTGACAGCCAACTGCTGCTGATAAGCTCTTGGAATCATTCGCCTGAGCATATTTAATAAAATGTACGCTAAAGTTAGCTACATGAAGGTCTGACAGAGCTACTGGCCGAAGAAACTCAGAATTAGCAGAGGAGGGTCCCTCTGTGGAGCTGCATGTTTACAGAAAACTACAAAGGCACCAGAGACTCGGTTTCATTTTTGAACATGGAAATGAAATCAGAGGAGTTTAATAGCAAATGCCTTTCAACCCCCCAAAAAGCTAATTAAAACGCAGCAAAACGCATTGCCACTTTAGACAGGCATGACTCTTGGGGCATGGGCTCATTAGACAGTTTGCAAATGATGGGCAAACGGTAGGTCTTCTGGGTCAACTGACCCTTTGTGAACCCTCTGAAATCATCCTGACCCAGACAGAAGGCACAGAGTGTTGCAAAACGCACAAGTTTGAAATCCACAGATGAAAAACACCATATAAGAACTCGGGATTATGAATTTAATTATTTTTCCCATCCTACCTCTGAAAAGAGCCTAAAACTCAAGGGGTGGGAAATCACACGAACTGAAACCAATGGGACAGTTAATCAAAACACATCATATATTTTTGCACAGATCTA